CTCCTCCGGGTTGGCGTTGTGCGCGTGTCGCCACGGTCGCGTCTTCCACCTTGGCCAGCATCACCTCCCCCAGTTTGACCTTCAACTCCCTCACCAACCTGGCTGCCTCCTCCACTACCTCCTTCCCTTTGCCGTTGATGGCAGGATCTTCGCTCCCATTGCAAAGAACATTGCTCAACTGTGTCAATATTGCTCCACATGTGGTGGGCTGCTGCCTCTTGTCAGAGTTTTCTTCTCGCGGGTGTCCGTCAGCGCGTCCCACGATTTCCTCCATCACAACCATGGCACCAGCACCACCTCAACTGGGGATTGCTGGGTGTCGTGAGATTCCCTGCGATCAGGGCTATCGTTCGCTATCGTTTTCAGTGTATTTATATAAAAGTAAAGACCTTCAGTATCTCAGTAGTATTTTGATCTTATATAAAAAGTTAATTTTTTCTTCGAGATAGCAGATTAAAAAATATCAAATATGATAATAAAATGACTAAGAATTTAAAAAATAATGTTGATCATGGGTAGAAATGGAAATCAGAATTTCTAGCCACAGCAAATGTTGGTCATCAATATCAACAATGATAAGTTTAAAATCACAGATTTTTAACTTGAATTTTTTACAAATTTCATTCAAAATCTCATAATTAATATATTCTGCTCAGAGAAGATGAAAAACACAGTATAATTAAATGATTTGATTTAATATTTTATTCAAAGTCTTTTGATAGTGGTTTAGATAGTCAGTAAATCAATATAATAAAGTCATTTCACAGCTTCTTAATGAATCACAAACTGTTAAAAAAGCACACTAAAAATTCACTATCTGTCAGACAGAGAAGATGAGACATCAGTTCAAGAACATAATATATAAAATCAAATATATATATTGAAAACAGATGATCAATAAAATTAGAGATGATAAAGATGATGGAAGATAAGAAAAGACAAAACCAATATATAAATGAATATATATTAACCAAACGGAAATCCTCCAGGGAAATTAAAGCCTCCACCTGAAAACTTAAAATGCGGGCCTCCGCTTCCCTGCTGGAAAAAGAATTGTCGTCCCTGGCCTCCATGAGGTCCGAACGGACCGCCCTGGAACGGGTTGCTCTGGCCCTCTGGTTTATTAGGGTCTTCACCACTATCGAAACGAGCGCGCAATTCGGGATTCGAAAGGACTTCATATGCCTCATTAATAGCAGCCATTTTCTTCTCCGCATCCTCCTTGGAAATACCTTGTGAAACCGCTTTATCCGGGTGGAATTGTTTGGTCATCCTGCGATATGCACGCTTGATAGTCCTGTCGTCCGCCTCACGGTCGACAGCGAGGATCTTGTAGTAGTCCTTTTGTTTCGAGCGTTTAAGGAGGATCTGAGCTTTTTGGTGGAGGGATTGAATGTCTTGAGTGTTGTCGTGGTGCTCCCTGGCAAACTTGAGGGTTTGAATAGCCGCTTCAAATTCATCAGCGTCGAGCTGCGCTTCGGCTTTGGAGAGGAGGCCAGGGAGGGAGTGGGGGTTCAGCTCCAAGGCTTCTGTGCAGTACGATTGTGCTTTTTTTTTCAAGTTCATCTGCGCAATAGATGTCAAGTTAGTTTTATGATCTTTTTTAAATTCGGAGTTTCGCTCGCCCGAACCTGTCTATATGTTTCGCAAGTCCTCTCGACTAAATTGTTATAGAGTGTGTTTGGCGCTTTTGGATGGATGTAGCCGGTCTCACGAGCCGCTTTCACATCATCCTTTATCTCTTCGAGAAGGCTTGTTTCGTCCTTATTACCAACCAAGATCTCAGCAGCCTTGCTGAACTTCCGTCCTTCGCGAAGACTCTCGATGTTAGCCAACTTTTTCGCTATTGCCTTTTCTCTTTTGAATAGGCGGCTACACGCTTTGGAGTCGGGATCCGAATGGAGACATTTCCGCATTTGCGCTATCCCATGTTCCGTATCCGCCAGCGAGTAGAAAAGCATTGAAGACATTTTAAGATGCGGCTCTACCGAGCCAGGAGCCATTTGCAAAACACGCGCTAGGTCATTTATTCCTTCTTGGATGTCACCCCGTTCAAAGCGGCATCGTGCCCGCAACTGTCGTAGGGACAAGGATTGGCTCGCCTTCAAGATAGCAACTCCAGATTGCAATACACAAGTATCCCAGTCACCATTCTTTTCCGCAACCTCAGCTAAGTGCGCAGCTTCCCGGGCTTTATTGAGTTCCCCAATTTCTGTGGCAGTGGTCTTCCCCGCAGCTTCCAGATCTTTCTTTGCAGAATCCCAATCTGCCGACTTCAATCTAATTCTAGCTCGTTGTATCAAAGCACCCTCGAAGTCTGGCTTGATTTTCAGTACGTCATTGAAATCTAGCAGGGCCTTCGTATTTTTGCCAAGAGAAAGGTAGGCGGCTCCGCGTTGGAAGATAGTTAGATAGTTCGTGGGGTCTCGAGAAATTGCAGCATCGAAGTAAGGCAGTGCATCTTGAGGGACGCCATTTCTGAGAGTAGAGATTTAGCAGTAGAGATGAGAGATGAGAGCGGCGTATCTG